ATGGCGCGTCTGCTCCCGTGCTGGAACATTTCATTGTTATTCTGAGAGAAATAGCGGCCAGATGAAGAGAACGTCTGCTGATCTGTCATGTGAGCGGAGCCGAGAGGGAGAGCGATGACATCACATCCTGGAGGGGCCCCGTTATCACCTCCATACAATCAGGGACCGGCCACCTATATAGACTGTCTGTAGGTGCTGATCACCATGGACCGGGACCGGCCACCTATATAGACTGTCTGTAGGTGCCGATCACCATGGACCGGGACCGGCCACCTATATAGACTGTCTGTAGGTGCCGATCACCATGGACCGGGACCGGCCACCTATATAGACTGTCTGTAGGTGCCGATCACCATGGACCGGGACCGGCCACCTATATAGACTGTCTGTAGGTGCCGATCACCATGGACCGGGACCGGCCACCTATATAGACTGTCTGTAGGTGCCGATCACCATGGACCGGGACCGGCCACCTATATAGACTGTCTGTAGGTGCCGATCACCATGGACCGGGACCGGCCACCTATATAGACTGTCTGTAGGTGCCGATCACCATGGACCGGGACCGGCCACCTATATAGACTGTCTGTAGGTGCCGATCACCATGGACCGGGACCGGCCACCTATATAGACTGTCTGTAGGTGCCGATCACCATGGACCGGGACCGGCCACCTATATATACTGTCTGTAGGTGCTGATAACCATGGACCGGGACCGGCCATCTATATATATACTGTCTGTAGGTGCTGATCACCATGGACCGGGACCGGCCACCTATATATAGACTGTCTTGTAGGTGCTGATCACCATGGACTGGGACCGGCCACCTATATATACTGTCTGTAGGTGCTGATCACCATGGACCGGGACCGGCCACCTATATAGACTGTCTGTGTGTAGTGATCTCTCCCTGATGTTCAGCACCATGGACAGGGACCGGCCATCTAGCTCTGTATGTACTGATCCCTCCCCTCCTATGTTCAGCACCATGGACAGGGACCCAATCACCTGTATGTACTGTCTGCGTGTTCTGATCTCTCTCCCTTCTGTTTTGCAGCTGGTGGCAGGGGGGCAGTTCCGTGTAGTGAAGGAACCTCTGGGCTTCCTCAAAGTCCTGCAATGGGTGAGTCACTCTTATGTATTGATCTATCTCCTAATATTTATTTATCTATCACCTGATGATATCTCTCTCTCGGATCTATAGACATAAAGAAACAATCGCAGAGTTCTATGTTTCAGTCATTGGTATATATACTGTATACTGTACATCTGTCTTTCATTGCTTCTTGTCTGATATTGTGTCTGCTATATCCTTCTATATACTCCGGCCTCAGGGTTTCATGGCACGTTCTATACGGGGGGCCTGTCACTAATACACACTACTGGCCGCATGGAGTTTGGAGGTCTGTAGCTATTGTCTCTGCAGACAGCTGGCGACTTCTGCGCACTGTGCGCTTCAGCATGCGCTGACCCCGCTCTGTCATGTGACGTGGCCGACCACTTCCTGGCTGAGTTGCTGTTGTTCCCAGTGGCTTCCACTTTGTTATAATCCCAGTAACAGGTGACCACGGCGGAATATTTAGTAGCCAGGAAATGTCACGGAACACCCGAATCCAATGATTTGGAGGGGGAGGGGCCCAATACTTTTGGCAATATAGTGGAGGGAATTTATCAAAACTGGAGCAGAGAGAATCTGGAGCAGTTGCCCACAGCAACCAATCGGCTTCTCTCTTGTTCAGTTAAGGTGTGAAAATGAAAGGTGGATGCTGATTGGTTGCCATGGGCAACTGCTTCAGACTCTGTCCGCTCCAGTTTTGATAAATTCCCCTCAGTGCATCTACTTCTGCTCACTATGGGGGGGAGGGGAGGGATGTAATAATCACAGAGAAATCCGGAGATGTGAAAAGATATTTTTGGAAACGCCACGGCCCGTGTTGGTGACCTTTTGCAGGATTAGGATCTATGGGAAGAGTCTAAATTCCGGGAACTGGAGGGACGGCGGAGGATTAGGATTAGTCGCTCTATGATTGAGAAATTGGACAGAAGTGATATTTTTATACAACATCCTAATGTCGCTTTGTGACCTCGGCCCGGGGGGAAGGGAAAATATCAGCAGATCAGAGTGCGGGCAGATATACGATGTTTAAAAATCGCTCTGAACCCGATCAATATGCGTTCACGTCATTTCCACAACGGCGTTCAATCTTTTCACATAGGCTGCTGTCCATAAAGTAATCCCCGGTTATCCTGACATGAAGGTTCCTGTTACAGAGTGACAACTGTCTTCCAGTTGTGCTCCTGTTATACCGCGAGCTGTAGCTCTCTATATACTGAGCCTAGGGTGACGGGAGGACGCTAGTTTGTGTCCTCCCGTTACCCTAAGGAGAACTATGGAGAAAAACACTGACCTCCGTAGTTCTCCTTTTAAGCCATGGTCCAGCATTGGAAGCCCCGGTTCAGGGTAATGATGTGCAGCCAATGATGAAGCGAATGTATGTAGACAGGAAGTGACTGAAAGAGACTAGAGGAGATCTGCAGCATTGCCCAGACATTTATTGCTCCAGAGACTCCTATTGACTCCAGCCCCATAGAAGTCTGTGGAGAACTGATGCGCAGGCTCAAACAGGACCGTAAACGCACACAGGAACCGCAGTTGTCTGATTGCAGTAAGTATGCATCTCTAGAGGGGGGGGGGGGGGGTGTAAGTCAGGGGAAGGAGCCAATACTTATGCACTTTGTTTAAAAGTGTACTGATCCTTTAAATAGAATGTCAGGGTGCCGCTTGGCTTTTGCAGTTCTCTGCACGGCAGGATTGAGACTGGGAGAGGAGGAGCCAGCCAAGCTTCTCTACATTCTGGCTGATTGGGTGGGAATGCACTGGGTGGACCTCATCGGTGTGTTTTTTTGCTCCTTCGCGATCCAATCACAGGCTGGGGGCGGTCCTTGGCCAAGCCGATTTGCTTTAACTGCAGTATAGGAATGTGAGGTCCGATCTGCAGGATGTCTGGAGTAAAAGAACCGCCGGTCAGTGTAGCGGTGACAAACACCGGACTTCCCGGCTTGGCAGAGTAGAACCCTGTTGATGCTTGCAAATGGCGAATGCTGATTGGCCTGCACGGTCACATGAGCACGCTGACCAATGGGAAGATCTTCTGAGCCGTGGGCTAGGTCCCCGGAAGTAAGAAGTGCCTCTCATTGATCAGCGTGGTCCTAGGATCATGCTGACTGATTGCCATTTGAGAGCATTATGAGCATGCCGTACTGCGAAGCTGGAAAGTCTTGTGTACAGTGTATGGACCGCTACACCAGCTGGCAGGGACTTCAGGCATGTAAGTGCAGCAGGGGTCGGGGGAGTCCTCAGTGCCCTCTTCCCTGCGGGGTCGTCGGTGCCCTCTTCCCTGCGGGGTGTCCTCTTCCCAGCGGGGTCGTCTGTGCCCTCTTCCCAGTGGGATGTCCTCTTCCCAGCGGAGTCGTCGGTCCCCTCTTCCCAGTGGGATGTCCTCTTCCCAGTGGGATGTCCTCTTCCCAGTGGGATGTCCTCTTCCCAGTGGGATGTCCTCTTCCCAGTGGGATGTCCTCTTCCCAGCGGGGTGCCCTCTTCCCAGCGGGGTCGTCGGTCCCCTTTTCCCAGCGGGGTGCCCTCTTCCCAGCGGGGTCGTCGGTCCCCTCTTCCCAGCGGGGTGCCCTCTTCCCAGCGGGGTCGTCGGTCCCCTCTTCCCAGCGGGGTGCCCTCTTCCCAGCGGGGTTGTCTGTGCCCTTATCCCAGCGGGGTGCCCTCTTCCCAGCGGGGTGCCCTCTTCCCAGCGGGGTCGTTGGTCCCCTTTTCCAAGTGGGATGTCCTCTTCCCAGTGGGATGTCCTCTTCCCAGCGGGGTCGTCGGTCCCCTCTTCCCAGCGGGGTCGTCGGCGCCGTCTTCCTCACCTTTTTTTACATATACAATGCACTGCAACACATAACGAACCGTTCATTGCTGTGCGCTGCCTTAAAGCATCAGGGTGCCGTTCAAAACAAATGTCAATGCAATGTGCAGCGCGAGGTGAAGCAAAGCTGTGCTCCTAAAAACCAACAAAGGCGCAGAACAGCAGACCCAATAGCAATACATTTACCTGTCGTCTTACTGGTCATCTATATATCCTATATATATATATATATACGCATTTCGAGGGCAAGTCCACCCCAACGTGTTATTTTAATCACAGGTAGATCCCGGTGGGATGCGTCAGTCCCTGGCTTCGTATGTGTCCTGCATGCTCCAACCAGGCGACCTCCCTGCCATTATTCTGCCAGAATTGTCCTCATGAAGTTCTGTGTGTCCCCAGCTCCTCCTCCTGCATTCATTCTTCTTGTTCTGTGTGTCCCCGCCCCCTTTTGTGTGTTCCCAGCTCCTCCTGCTGCATTCATTCTTCCTGAAGTTCTGTGTGTCCCCGCCCCTTTTGCGTGTTCCCAGCTCCTCCTCCTGCATTCATTCTTCCTGAAGTTCTGTGTGTCCCCGCCCCCTTTTGCGTGTTCCCAGCTCCTCCTCCTGCATTCATTCTTCCTGAAGTTCTGTGTCCCCGCCCCCTTTTGTGTTCCCAGCTCCTCCTCCCTCATTCATTCTTCCTGAAGTTCTGTGTGTCCCCGCCCCCTTTTGCGTGTTCCCAGCTCCTCCTCCTGCATTCATTCTTCCTGAAGTTCTGTGTCCCCGCCCCCTTTTGTGTTCCCAGCTCCTCCTCCTGCATTCATTCTTCCTGAAGTTCTGTGTGTCCCCGCCCCCTTTTGCGTGTTCCCAGCTCCTCCTCCTGCATTCATTCTCCATAATATAAAATGTACAGAACAAGGGGAACCCCTTATTCTGGACACAGTAGACCCTGGGGCTCAACACCGAGATCTCGCCAATGAAATCCCATCCAATTAAAAAATATATATATATATACATACATACACACACTTATTTAAAGGGCCAGTCCACCTAAAACTGATAATAAATAGATATAATACAGTATATAAGTGCCCGGTCTTTTACTATAGCCCCCTAGGCCCCACCCTAGACCTCAAAGCGGCCCTGCGCAGCGCATCCCTGACTCCCATTTTTGTGATCGGTTTACGTTGGCGCTGTGACTTGTGCATTCTCACACCCTGAGTGTGTGTGTCTCCCCCCCCCCCGGTAATCCTCTTTGCTGTTCGAAATGGCCGACGCTCTAAAAATACTCCTCCAGTCTCTGCGGAGATTGGCGAGGTCGCAATCCTCCTCCCGGATTACCACCACGATAAATCCTGCCCGGGCTGCCCAGCGTGAACTCCCATGCAGAGAGCGTGGGCACAGCACGCCACCCCGCCTGACACCCCCTCGGGGGGGGGGCGAGCGGACACATTGCTCTGCGGCTCTCGCCACCTTCTTTCATGTAGGAGGGGAACTTCCCGATTTACTGAGCCGACCTGTGACAGTCTCATTGTCACAGGTCGGCTAGAACTATGAGGAGAGTGAAAAGCACCCCCCTCATAGTTCTCCTTTTTTAAGTCGCGACCCAAGTCGCACTGCAATGGAACGCACGGCATTGCAATACCAGGCGATCGGACTGCGGGGCGGGAGGTGCATTTGGGGGTGTCATTCAAATGAATCGCAACACACCTTCCACACCAGAATGCGCAGTAGTTGCGATAGCGTGGTACAGTGCACTAATCGCATGGGACTACTAACGCACCTTATGAGAACTGGATCGGATCCTCAGCCTGGGGTCCGGTGTGGGCGGCTGTGCTGCGACGGAGCTCCATCCATACGTTCGTTGCTGGTACAGCTTCCCTTGCGTGCCCTGCAGAGGAGCCGGGAGCCAGAATGTGACGTCACTCCGGTCCCGGCACCTCTACAGGGCACATGAGGGAGCTCTACGCAATGCATGTATGTATGGAGCTCCCTTATGGCCATACCCCCAGCCCACCTCAAGCTGACACTCTGCACCGGTCAGCATATCTTGAATGGCCGCTCCGAGCGAGCACACTGCCGGAGGTGCTTACATCGGTCACCTTTTTATTCCTGTGGTTTAAGCTGTGCCACTGGACACCATAAACCATGGCAATAAAAGGTGACCGATGTAAGCACCTCTGGGCCGTGTTTATAGTTTACCCCCTCGGTTCTCAACTGGTGGG